TTGGCACAGTATATTCAGTTCATTGACATGTTTGACTTTGAACTGAAGCATAGAAGGGCTGCTACAACAAGGTAGCAGATGCCCTCTCTCGTAGGCCTGACTCTTTTGCGTTGATCTCCTCTACTCACTCCTTTGGAGAGGAGACCCGTCAGACCATTGCTCGTGTACTGCCTCAGGATGAGACTTTCGGACCCATTGTTAGGAATCTGCAAGCAGATCCTAACTCTGAACTAGGCTATGCTCTGAGTTCAGACCTGCTGTACTACCTACAGGAGAGGTGAGGAGCGCTTCTGCATTCCCCAGGACCAGCGGCTCAGGACACTACTGATGTCAGAGTGTCATGATGCTCGTGGTCATTTTGGGTTCCTAAAGTCATATGCAGCCCTGTCGCAGCGCTTCTTATGTGGAGTGATATGCTGCGTTATGTGGACACCTGTGAGCTCTGCCAAAGGAATAAGGTCCATCGTAGACCTCCTTTGGGACTGTGGTCTGCGTGGACAGGATCTCCAAATACGCAGAGTTCATCCCCTTGCCAAAGGTAGCTAGGGGTCCGGCTGTGAGAGCAGCCTTTTCTGAGAGGTGGGTCACTCACCATGGACCGCCCACTTCTATCGTCCGTGATAGAGACCCCAGAAGCGATGAGTGGCAGTCCTACTGTAAGGACTATTTGCACTCACGATTCGACATGACTTCTGGTCATCATCCTGAAGCCAATAGTCAGGCTGAGGTGATGAACCAAGTCTTATTCCAATTGCTGCGTCCTGTCATCTCTCCAGATCATCAGGACTGGGATTTTCACTTGGCTAGAGCACAACTCATGTATAACATGTCTGTCCACTCCTCGACACGGTTCAGTCCCTACCGGTTACACTGGGGACGTGAACCACGACAGCCTCTCGATGACATCATCGATAAGGCTAAGCCTGATCTGACACCAGGCACAGCAAAGTTCACCAGACGCTATCGTCTAGATGTGGAAAGGGCCCATGCGAACTTGTTCAAAGCCCAAAAGGCTATGGTTGAACAAGCGAATCACCACAGGCGGCCTTCCCCCATCCGCACTGGTGACTATGTCTGGGTGGCCAGTTCTGAGATGTCGAGGGAGGAGGATATCTCCCCCAAGCTGTTGCCACGTTACCTGGGTCCATGACAGGTCCTAGATACAGTGGGCGGTGATCCCTTCGGTCCGTCGTATGTTATCGATGTCCCGCTGCATCTACGCACCTACCTGGTCTTTCATGCATCCAAGCTGCTGCCTTTCACTCCAGCTGATGCAGTTCCTGACCACCCCCTCAATTCGATCCACCGATCCCTGGCAAGGGATATGACGTGGAATGGATTGAGGATGAGTGGGGCACCGGCCCCGACCGACAGTATCTTGTGAGGTTCGCATTCCAACCTCCTGATGAGAACAGATGGTTCTACAATAGGGAACTTCTCAAGACAGCAAAGTCAGTTGTCCTGCGATATGAAGCGACTCAAAAGGGAAACCTTCCTCGCCGTTCACCTCGCCTACACCCCTAGCTCGGAGGTCCTCTCTCCCGGGGAGGGTGAGCCTGCAATGACTTGCTGATTTCTACTGCCGAGACTGACTGCAAGGCTGTATAGTAAAACAGTAGGTTAGATTCACAATTTTGTTTGGCTGAGGGCTAACCGAGAGACCTACCTGTAAGGAAATTCGTGAGGGACATATTTGCAAATCTGGGAAAATATAGGCCCAGTACTAACTCGAATTCCTACAGCTACCTTAACTGCGTATAGCAGGCCCGGGCTACCCCTAGGACAGACA